CTCTTTCCCAACAAAGGTGATACCATTTCAAATAACAGGAATAAATGGCACTACCAAATGCATTTTTTATACCTGTGCTAAGCTGCATATCCAACATTTTGTTGGTATTGAAATGCTGAAAAACTATACTGGTGAAAGTTCCAAGCACAGGCAGGAGTTTTGGGCTGTCTCTCACTGGAAGTCTCCACCCTTCCAATGCCTGATATCCATTGATTTCAGGGGGACAGGCAGCACAGGAAAAGGCAGGATGAATCCACAGATCAAAGCTCTGAATGGATTACAGGGACAGGGACATAGGGTCATGGCAGTGATGGCTGGCAGGGACCTCTGGGGTCTCTCACCCACCCTCCTCTTCAGAACAGGACTCCTGCCAACAGTAGATCAGCAGAGTGGTAGGCGTGTCTAGCTGAGTCTTAGAAATGCCCAAGGATTAAGATCTCAGAGCCTGCAAGTCTTCACCACATTTTCTTTCTCATAAACATCAAGACAAGAAAAGTTCAGTTTTTTACAAGAGGGCTCAATTATTTGAAAAGGAACATCAGATAATGGCATTTTTCATTATTTGTCTAAAAGCTTTTCTTGATGTTGAATCCATTCTACATTCAGCCAAATTCTTTTTTGCTGCAGCTTGTCAATATCCACCTTAAGCCTGTTTTGCTTAAGACCTACTCATTACTGACTGTAAATAAAAACTACTCCTGCTTTTCTTAGCATGCTTTGGGGAGATAAGGAACAAACTTTCTCATCCTGGAATAAGCTGGATCTACCCACACCAGGACCTTGTTTCAGAGGTTATCACTTCAGTCCAGTGTGGCTGGGGTACTTGGAGATTATTAGCAGTTGGTCTTTGCTCACCTAGCTGATTTGCACAGATTTAAGAAACACTCCCACAGTCAGACTCAAGCAATCAAGCATCACCAACAAGCAGGACCATCATGAGTGGTTGAGGACGAACAACTATACAGGCGGAGCAACGCAAGGACCTTTCTGCCACCATCACTAAGGTGGTCATGATCGATGCCAACCATTGCAGCAGGTACACCCAAGAAAAGCACCTGTCTAGCAGCCACTGGAGCAGCAGCAAGACCAAAGGTTTCACTAGAAGGGTTTAAACCCCAAAGGTTTTGCTCAGCAGCATTGTTTTGCTTTGTTTCTTCCAAGACACAGCCAGTCTACAGGCCAACCCTGCTAGAAGCAGTGGTAAACACTCAGGCACTCCTTCCTATACAGCCACTTCCTTCTTAGGTGAACCTAAGGGTCCAAACTACACGCTGTGTTCTCCAGGCCAAGCTCAGACTGCTACACTTAACACTTCTTTACTTGAAGAGAAGGACAGAGACACACACTTCTAGTGTGAAACCTGCCCTCAGTCAGTTCTGCTGCTCTTAACATCTTTCAGTCACAAAATGTCTTTGTCATGGGTCAAACCTTGCTAGTTCCTAAATGCTGGGCAGCAGAAGAATATGAAGTATGTTTAAACTCACCAAAGGAGCTGTTTTATTTCAAGGAGTGGTATACATTTACTTAGAAAAGTGACAGAAGTTCCAATAAATTGTAGCTTCCAAGCACAAAGAGTTATTCCACTAAGGCAGAAACAGACTTTCTCTGTTAATTTCAGATGTTAATTTCTAATTATGTCTTGTTCCCTGCAGCCTATATACTAGGATCATTGTTATCCTCTATGTTTATTAATCGGCTACCTGATGTTAACAAGAAGATAACTTCTAGGAGATATGCAAATAATACCACAATTTTCTTTTCCAATGACTCAGCATTCATTCAGAAATGTGTTAGCAGGAAACAAAGACTATTAAGAAGCCCTCTGCATAATTATCCTCTTCCTTGCCTCCAGTTCTTAATAATTTATGGAAGAAAATGAATGTTTTCTAATAGATACTTGATCTTGCTGGAAGAAAAGTTGTGTAAGTTATCTTGTCTTCTGTTTCAAATCTAATTTCTTTCATTTTCTGTTTTTGAAAGACCTATCTCCAAAATTTTATTCAAATAAGGCAAATTTAAGTACTCTCAGGGGAAAGATTTGGAACAAGTGAAATGAAATGCTTTCAGCACCGAGGAGGCTGGACTGGCACCAAGCTAAAATATGACTGTCACATTTAGAGTTAACAAAGAACCTGTCAATTACTTTTCCACGTTTCCTCTGCAACATCAAGGGGAAGCATCCTGGACAGAACACATGGCTGTGAATGAGTTTGTGTTATTGTCACAGAGAGACACGTGAAGCCATGTTAAAGCAGAACAGTCCCATTCACCCCACTTATCTGGGATCCAGTGCAACAAATTTATGAGCATGTAATTAGCTCATTGGGGAAAAAGTGCATAATGCTGGGGCAGGGAACGAGGCAGCTATTGTCTTACGTGGCCTGATGACAGTACCCATAAATCTTGTGCTTGCTGTGCTGGAACTGAAGTTGAAAACTTGTGTGGGCTACCGACAGCTGGGGCACTGAGTTCTCCTCACTTGGTTTGTTGTGTTTGAGTTTGTTCCAGTGCAAATACAGCTCCCTGCAAGAGCTTTGCTCTTATCTGTGTGGTGACTTGTATTTAAGAAATTAACAACTTAAAAGATAACTCCTACCCTTGGTTTTGCATTCTTCACTTTCAGCTGGCACCTTTTCCTTTGAAAAATCAGACCTTCAAGAAGCAAGGAAAGCCACCCCAGCCTAGCTTTCTGATATTCCACCCCTGATGCTCCTCCCAAGGACCGAGAGGTCCCCCAAGGATGCAAATCCAGCAACCACTCCACCAATAACAAGATAAAGGAGAGATGCATGTTTTTTAAATGGCTTAGCAGGCAAAGCTGGGGCAAAAACTTGAGCAAAGCTAGGAAAGGAGATCAAGCAGAAAGAAGTAGCCCTCTACATGCTTCACCACTCACAAAATGTTCTGATTAGGCAACTTGCTTAAACTATTAAAGCCAGAGGCTTTTGCATGAAACATCCCTTATGAGGGGTATTAATTTCAAAGGCGTGCTCTGAATGGAAATCTAACACTGCAATCAATTTGCAGAGGTTACCTGGAGGAATAGGAACATATTCAGCAGATAATGAAATAACCTGACTATGATGCCATGCGGGCAGGACATGCTTTCTGAAATGCACAGGGGAAGAAAAACCATGCTTGGAAGGTCCCAGAGACTGAAACAGAGACAAGAAGGGTGTGTGTGATGTCTGCATATGTACCTATATGTGACAGAACAAAACACTTGACAGGTCTAAAACCCAGCTCATATACACAAGTACAGGGCATTTCACAAGAAGCCCATACCATAGATTTCAGGAAACTGCATAAAAACAAGCTCCTGAAGGAACTGGCTGATGAAATTGCAAAGCCTCTGTCCATCATGTCTGAAAAGTCTTGGCAGACTGGAGAAATCCCCTCTGACTGGAAAATGGGAAAAGTAACTCCCATTTTCCAGAAGGGAAAAAAAAGGAAGACCCAGGAAACTATAGACCAGCCAGTCTTACCTATGTGCTGGCAAGATCATGGAGCAGATCCTCCTGAAGGCTCTGCTAAGGCACGTGGAAAACAAAGGGGTGACTGGTGACACCCAACACAGCTTCACCCAGGGCAAATCCTGCCTGACTGATTTGGTGGCCTTCCACAATGGGGTCATGGCATCAGTGGACAAAGGAAGAGGAACCTACGTCATCTACCTGGACCTGTGCAAAGCCTTTGATATTGTCCTGCACAACATCCTGGTATTGCAACTGGAACAGTACAGATTTGATGGAGGGAGCACTTGCTAGGTAAGGAACTGGCTGGATGGTCACACTCAAAGAGTGTGATCAATGGCTTGATGTCCAGGTGGAGGCCTGTGATGAGTGGTGTTCCCCAAGGGTTGGTACTTGGACTGTTGCTGTTTAACATCTTTGTTGGCAACACGGACAGTGGCACTGAGTGCACCCTCAGCAGGTTTGTTGATGACACCAAACTGTGTGGTGAGGTCAACACACAGGAGGGAAGGGATGCCATCCAAAGGGACCTTGACAGGCTTGAGAGGTGGGCTTGTACAAACCTCCCCCGGAGGTGCCTCTGGAGGTGCCTGTCCCTTCTCCAAACCCGCAGGCGAGACGACAGAGAGCGCATCCCTCCCCCTCTCACTGCTGGTCCTTCCTCCCTGCCCCTCTCCCGTGGGAGCCCCCGGGCCCTCCTTCCCCAGGCACCTCCCAGAGGCATCCCGGTGCC